TTATTATCAGACTAAACAAGTAGTATTGTATATATGGCAGCATAAGTAGGCAATTAAGAATGCTTATTCATTTGATGATGAATAGCAAATGAAATGAACAGGTAAATACTGAAATATTTTATGTATGAATGAAAACCTTTAACAACAAACACTGATATTACAATGATGTCTTAATCGAAAATACAATCTAATGAGATATCCGAAACATATATACTTAATGTTTCGAAGGTGTTTTGTCAAAATACGACGTTATACGTGCATAAATACTACTGTTTTAAATGAGAAATACTTTCAACTTTCTAAAAGCTTTATGAAAAGTTGGTATAATTTTTGTTTCAGAAAAACTGAGAATTATACAATTCCAAATTTCATCTAACAAGAAGAAGTACTAAAGGAGAAGAATAACTAATTAGTTAACAAAGTTTATTACGATAACTTTACCGTTGTAATGAGTCGATATGAAAAAGTGAAAATTGTAAGTATAGAATTAGAAAGCACTTTACAGAAAGAAAACTGTTGAGGATCAGTAGTGTTGATACTACGATAAACCAAAAAAGGAAACTTGAGTCATTAAAAAGTAATGCACTGGTAACTCCAATGATTGCTTTATTTTTAAACTCTAAATCTTTGAAAACGTATTTTCCCAGGCTCACTTCACGAGTACTACTTTGTATATTGTCATCGGATAACAGCAGGAAAAGAACACAAAACTGTGAACGATCTAAGATTAGTGTTTTCCTCAAATAATTAACACGATGTATCTTAGGCCTCACACGAACTTATTTTTTTCCAAAAATCAAAATTAAAATCAAATGATGCCTCTCTGAGATTACGTTTTGCATAGAAGTAGTTCAAATGCCTGAGTAGATCAAAAGTTTCTAGTTGCAGGTATGTCTTGCTAATAATAGCCGATTAGTAAGAAACTTATACAGGATAGGACCTCTTCTTGTTTGATAATAATAATAAAGCTTTATTTCAGACAATAAGCGAACATATGGTACAAAACTTTTCAGATTATGTAGTTCCAAAATACATTTTACTTCATGTAGGATTTACATGTAAATTAATAATTTGAAGTATACTTTCATTTCGTTGAAGAATTGCACGGCGTTTACTTGGAATCAAGTTAAACCAGCGCGCAAGTTCAAGTATAGATCATTTTATATAACTGAACGATTAAAACAACTATAAATTCAGATGAAAAGCGATTCCGGTAGCCCAATTATTTAAGCAGATCACCCTCTATTTGCAACACGACAGTGAGTCTCCTATATCAGTAGTCAAAATGAAAAACTAGTCAACAGAATTCGGTCAGCAATTTTAGCTATATAACATGAAGTTGACTACTCTTCAATGACTAATAGTTTTTTTATTTTTATTTTTGATTTACAGCTTGATTCCACACTGTATTTTCGGTACAAGTATGCAATTTTCAGGATGGATATCGGTAGCCCAAATTTTGCAGGCCGACCATAGATATCAGGTGTGCGTCGGACGACAAGTGAGCCATTTAATCAAGAAAGAATAGATCATCGAAACAATTATTCGAAGGACTGAAGAACACAACTTGAGTGATGTCAATTCGATTTCAAAAGTCAACTGAATCACAATCTTGGAAAACTAACCAATATATACAAATATGCTACTATGGATACACATTTAGTAACCAATTATTGTGTGGTATATTTATGAAATAAAAGTGATGAAATCTCAGATTAACAGACTACTAAACAGACTGGAGTTATTGAAATATGAGAAGATTTACAAATAAAGTATCATAATATTGCACTATATGAGTATCCAATATTGAGAAAAAAATCCCAGAAGTTACCAAAGTAGTACTTTTATTTGTAAATACGATATTTTACACAAAATATGTTGCGAAAAAAAAAGAAATAAGTTAACATAGAAATTACCATCGGACCTACTCACTACAACTAATCTTTAGTGCTTTCTATTGTAATTACTAAGAATTTGAATAATAGGTTCAGTGATTTGGAAGGAAGTAATCTACACTATTGCTGTCAACGCTATAATGTTAACTACATATTCACAAAAAAGTATCCAAACCTCAGGGCAACAAAGTATTTGTTACACTATTTATAATTAGTCGGCTAAATGACAAAACCCCTCTTTGCATTGAAGCATTATTGATAAGGTGAATTATCACACGGTTGTTTTGACATTTGAAGGGAACTACAAGCAAAAATGACGCCATCTTATTAACATGCAAGAAAACTCTTGAAGAATATTTCAACTAATTCCCATATATGTTTCAGTTCACTAGAAACCAGTTTGATTGGTCATCTCCAAAGGTTGTTTTGCAGAGTAGAAAAAAGCACCAAACAGGCTGAATAGGACCTTAGTTGCATTATAATAATGACGCCTTTTAATGGCCTCATTGATTGACTGGACCAATTTGTTGGAAAGAATGTAAAAATTCTACAGAGTAATCAGCTTGGCTAATATAATGCCTCGAGTAGTATGGCTCAGTCATGTTCACGTGCAATTAACGAACAGATGAATTGAATCTGAAAGGACCACATTCGTTTGCAGTTCTCAAACTGCATTTTTTGGCGTGAAGTAAGAGTTCGATTTCTTTGACAGAGTGGTTTTATCAAAGTTCTTTTCTTTTGAACAAAATAGTAACTAAATAAATAAAGTTGTCATAAACACTATTTAAATTTTCCGAAGTATGAGAATTATTTACGTATATACAAAAACCAGATTTTGTAATCTGATAATGACTGGTATCACCATTTTTCTCTTCAGTTCAACTTTTTTTAGTAGTAATAATGGCTTTATTTCAAATAGAACTTGATACAATGTGGAATTTTCAGCATGTAATACAATATTGCACCTAATATTCACTTTACTTTACATAGTACAGGGGGAAATAATTAATAGGGCATTAACACTGATATTGTTGTTCAGTAAGAATCTGAATATAGAATTAAAATTTCAGTGGAAATATTGACAACAACATATTAATGAAAGAAAGAATAAAAAAAGGCTGTTAACCTAGTGTTTTTCGGTAAGTTAGTAGTGTCACGACATACACCTTTCTCATCACATAAAATGCGTACCAAATAAGGTATCGTAAATTTTTTATACTTAGTCGTCCGAGCAAAAGTCTTTTATAGTTGCTTCTAGTCAAACCTGGTGAAATGCAGGGAGAGTTGTGTATAGAGACGATACTCAGAGTCCGATAGTGTGGTAATCGCCGATTTCCTGCATGAGTTTAAGTGTCTATCTACAACAGTACTAACAAATCAGTTTAGCGACACCCCACTCCCCTGCTAACAACTTTTGGTACCCTTCGCAGTGTAACAAGGTCTTCCCCAAGTGGCCCAGAAAAGATAAAGGGGAGCAGTAAAGAAGAATATGTAGAATAAAAGAATTAACAAACTGTAAAAGTAGACTGAGTGATATCAAATTGTCTTAACTTTCTTACGTAGAACGTTAGACGAAATACCTTTCTGGAAACTAACATGATCCAGCTACATTATTTAACGGGACTTCAGTTACAAATCCACAGAGACAGGAAATCTAACGCCATAACGCTATTAAGCACATAAAAACTGAAAATCTATCATCGAACGCTTTATACCTGCACAAGTACTATTTAAGTAAAGATTTTACTATAGTTTGGTTTGAAAGGGTTAGTTATTTTTTTACGAGTTGATCACGGATTGATATCAGTTAGAGAACCATTGAAAACCAGGGAGTACTAGACAGCTGCTGTTTCATCCTAGTTCGAATCCCAGTGGGTGCGTACTGCCGATGATTCCCAAACTAGGGTGAAACAGCAGCTATCCTGTACTCCCTGGTTTTAAATGGTTCTCTAAGTGATATCAACCCGTGATCAACTCAAAAAGATTTTACGTTAAGATTGTGCAGACGTCTGCTTTTTAATAAGTATTGGACTGTATAAGTGACGTCACTACACATCTAACCCGAGTTGCATCGATCCCTATTAGGTAGTGTCATTAATACCAGTAACTATCCTAGTGGTGGCCAAAACATGTTATGCTGTATGTTAGAAACACCAAAAAGATGAATATACCATAGGGCTACCAATTTTATGTTACGATTTAAAGTAGCACATGACAGGAGTATTCGAAAATTGACAAATCAAGACACTAGTAAACTAGTAAAACTGTAGTATATTCGAATGGATTACCGTGAAAAAACTAATTACTGAATAAGCCTATAAGCCGACACAGCAAAGGATAACTGTAACTAAGTGAATTAAGTTTCCTCCCTCAGTTACAGACTAAGTATCACACCTTAATTGCACGAAATTAGGTTACGAGACACATAGACAATAAGTTTGAACCGAAAACTATAGAACAAATATTTTTGTTTGGTACAGGATTGCTGTGTGGCACGTTCCAACAAATAAAGTAGGACCTAGAAATAGTGTGTAAAGTTACGATTTGGTGATGAAGTGGATTGGAGTGTAGGTAACATGATGATATTCTTGAGAAAGCGGAAATTAATAGTTGACGACCATATTTTTTGACGGGAAGTCAATCACAGTTTGTATAGAAAAGCATCGACATTGTTAACTATCTTATTCCTTCATGTTACATATATCAAATCAACACTGCATTTTAATTCTGGTACCTTCCATTACCTAAGTATGTGGAAATTCACTCAACATCAATCTCTTTGAGAAATCTTTAAAATGTAAATGAACAATCTTATTGCCATAAATACTTGCAGCTCATGTCAGTAGTTTCTTTACTTTCTACTTTTTTTCTGGAAAAAGGTTTCAATAAAGGTCCACAAAGTTCAGGTAGAGATGTCCTGTAAATTTTCATGAGAAGTAAGACGAAGTCACTTCCTAATAAACAGTATAGTGTATGGATCCTAAAGTAACTTTAAAGTCTGTTCAGAAATACACGTATTGACGGAATAATAAAAATTGCCGTAATAAATACTTAGTTACATATCAGTGTATCTTGGTTACTAAAACTTTCTTACAATTTACTTACTTCAGGACTGTTAATTTTTCTCATAAATTCTTCATCTGGCTTCCCCAATAGATTCAAAATTAACTGAATTTGATGAATATGATTGCCACCCTTGAATAAAGGTGTTCGATTTCGGAGTTCAGCCATAATACATGCAACGGACCAAACATCCACTACATAAAACGAAAATATAATTACACAGAGTTAAATTTGTAATACTGTGCATAATTTTTTTTACTGATACTCTATGTCAAGAATAAATAAGTAGTGGGTATGCAAAGACTAACAACTGTCATATAATTAATATGTTCCCAACAAGCTTTCCACCATAACTTTAGCGTTCTGCTACCCTACAATACTTGCTTTTTCCTGGGAGTGGATACAAACGGTCTTTTAGGGATTTGAAAGCTTGCGTCATCCTTGGAGTAGGCGAGATGCTTAGTTACCTAGTTAACGAACAACATACTTGATAGCAGCTTTCGTCGTTTTACTTTGAAGCTGAAACGTGAAAATACTGAAGAAGTATTGATTTAGCTGTTCACGTTAGGAGAAGCGGCATGGCGGCAAATACTAATGAAACCTAAGTTTTATGTAAAAAAGGAGTTCGATAGATAAATAGATTAATCTTATTCGAATGAGACTGCTGGGACATATGTTATGCACGTCGAGCTACTGTCTTTCTTGACAGACGATGTCGCCTATATTATGATTACTTTGAAAGAGAGTCAGAGATGCGAGGAATCGAACATGGTGCCGGCGCAGGTAGTTAGCGACTTTTAGAATAAGCCACAGATGTAGGTGTAGGATGTCTAGCTGATTTCTCCAATATGATAGAAACCAAAGGCTGAGAAATCCTTGTAACACGGTTCCAAACCATTTACCTTGGCGATCTACTAACTCTGTATTATATATATAAATTAACAAGAAATTCAATTTCAATTGTCACAGATAATTCAGTCACAACAGATCAAACAATGGATAATAGAAATGTAGTTTCATAGAAGTAACACAAAACGAAATTACTAACGCATAACTGTAATACTGTAAAAGCAGAAGGCAAGATATACGGAAGTAAAAGTGTACTTTCAATTGATGAAACCGCTGTTTATATTATTACTATTATTTCCATTGGTTCCGTGTGGAACATACAAACTCAGCAACATATCCCTACTTCGTTCTATTTGGTGCTGTCCTCTTCATCTGGCTGAGTTCATGATTGCCCATAATCTCTCATCTCATCCTCACACGATCTCTCCCATGTCACCCTAGAGGCGATGACCCACTCGTCGCTTCTTATTCAGCTCCCAGTAGAACAGTGGCCTGGCTGGTGCGCAACTTCCCTCAACAGCCTTCTCAACGTATACTCGAGTCATTTCTATTTTCTCCTACGCACTTATTGAGCAATTTGCTTTCAGCTGGTTTGTTGCCAGAGTTTCTTGTTGCTAATTCCTTCTGGCAGGCCATCTAACCTTCAGTATGGAGCCAACGAAAACAGCTGTTGATGAAAGTCTGTAGCTTGACGGAAATGCTTTTCGTGACACATAGGCCAAGCTTCTGACTCGTATAGAACTGACTGACTACATTTGTGTTGATAACCCGAATCTCGTTCTTTACACTTGCTGAATGCTGAAGATTTCCAAACTGGCTTCAGGTCGATGAAGGCGTGTCTTGCCCTTCCAATTCTGGCTGGGATTGACAACTTCACCCGTGGTTGAAACCGTGCTTCCTAGATAGGTGAAGGAAGTAGCCTCCATCAAATCTCGCCCGGTCATGGTGATTGATGTTGGTTGCTGTTGTTTGGTTATTTTCATCACCTCCTTATTTTCTATGTTCACCTGCGGTCCTGTCTTCGCTGCTTCTTCAGCCGGTTTGTTGGTTTGTATACACAGTTTATATTCTTTTAAATAATCACTGAACTCGTTATTTTTGCTGACATTAACCGACGTGAAATGGAATGTTCAAATATATATAGTATTTTGTTGATAATGCTAACAAATACAATGCAGTATTAAACTGTGGGAAGAGTATTCTCACACTAACAACAACAACAATTAAAATGGACTATTAAACTGTAGGTATAGTATTCAGACGTTAACATCAACAAATACAATGACTCCTAGAGTGGGAATAATATTCCATTGGAACACTCTGTCTGAATCACACCACCACAATCTCACTACTAAAGCTGGCAAATAATCACAAAACATAAGGAGAAACAGTGGTCGTTTAGAGCGAGAGTGAGGTAGAAGGACAGGTAGTTTGCACGGCACGAAATCGACAAAGACAGTAGGAAACTGTGAGTATTTCAGAGAATCAGAAAATACATTCAATTACTCCATAATGGAAATATAACAGAAGTAGTATTTGAGAGATAATTGTCCTGCTTAACTTAGTCTGAATTAAAGGTTAGATTGGGATAACTGCAAGTCGATATGAATAAATAGGCAATTCCTCCCTTTTGTAATCTACTACCATTCGAATTAGTATGAGGAGAACTGAAGGAACGTATAGTTATGTAATGATAACTTACACGACGCCAGAGAAAATTCAAAATATAGCAGAAGCCAGATCTCGTAACTCAGTCAGTAGAGCATCAAGTCTGGTAATGCGAGGTCGCTAGTTCAAATCCTATCTCTGCCTTGGTTTTCGTTGAAACTTTGTTAAAATAACTTCAGGCAATCTCTCAAGTTATCTTAACATTAAGCGCATTTTTTTCCGCAATCTGTTAATCAAGTACATGTCCTTCAATTTAAGAATACCCACTGTTACTTGTTCTCAATTAAGTATAATATGATAAGATGATTTCTAGTAGATAGATATCATTTTGTAAAAACACCTAGAAAGCATTCAAGAAGGATTTTTTTAATAAAGAGTAGATGATATATTTACCAGATTCATTGTAATGCATCCAGTTTAGCATTACTTCGGGAGCTCGGTACCAACGAGTTGCGACATAGCCAGTCATCTCTTCCTGTTTTTGACGTGCCAAGCCAAAGTCAAGAATTTTCAACTCGCAGTCTTCATTTACTGCGATATTGGCTGGCTTCAAGTCTCGATGAATCAGACCAATACTGTGCATATACTGAGAAGCAGCAAAGAATATAGGGGGGAAAAATATGATAATCCTTCGTGAAATAACTAATAACCAGATCAAGTGAAAGCAGAATAGTAGATCAGCTTATACAATATACTAATGATTCGATAATTTTTATGTCTGAATGTCCATACACTAGTAACATGATATTCTTAAAACCAATATTATGGCATAACTGAGTGATTTACTCAACAATAATGTAAATCAACTCTACGGAATTTTGAAATTCGGATACATTATCGCCTCACACAAAAGTGAAAATTGTAAAAAGCTGTAACACATTATAGTTCATACGAGGTGTGGAATTCGCAGTGAATGCATCACACACCACAATTATTCCAAGAGATCACTATATATTCCTACATGCCTCAACAGTGATATATAAGTACTGTATGTAATGTAATATTAGCAATTTTCTCGCATTGGCTGGAAGTAGAGTGCTTAAGCCACTAAGCCACAACTCCAAAGACAAATAATAAGCACTGCTTTCATCACTTAGGACTGAATATACACAGGAGCCAGGATACATAAAAGTTTATGAGATTAAATATACCATATGCTAACTCAGTTATTGGAAAGTAACATGCCCAAAAGCAAATTCTAAAAGGGGTTGATAACGACATTTAAATGATACGGAGTTCTAGAGCCTACTGCAGCTGTAAGAGGTTTAGGTAGTAAACTGCCAGTCGATGGATTACATGCATGAAGCCACAAAACTAATTGAAACTTTATGATGATGTAATAGCACCATCCCCTACTAAGCATCTTTTAGACATAGTCTAGCCCACTGAATCGACTATTCTCAAATTAGGAAAAATTGGAATTTTTGGTGTGATTGTTTTTTCTGAGTTGATTGGTTTAGTTACGAAGGCTTCTTTGTCCTTCCAAAACCATATCTTCAACGTTTACTTTAATGTTGTTATTTTCGAATTCTCATTTGACACTGAAGTGTTGAAGATGTTGTTAAAACGTTTAGTGAAAGCTTCGTAATTAAACCATTCAGCTCAGAGAACACAATCACATTCAACTGAGTTACAAATCTCCACTATTTCAAATATTAGAATTCATCTAACACGAGTTTAAACGCGACAGCAACAGCAACGTTCTTGGTGAATTTCAAAAGAAAAGTTGTTTGGAAGTCAGTTAAGCGATACCAGGCTATTAGCCTCACTTATTGTGTCTGTCTGTCTGTCTGTTTTCGACATAGAACTTTGCACAAATGTGCGGAAGTTCAAGTCGCCACATTCCGTGTAGCACGCGAAGCAAGAGAAGAAAGTACAAGAAAAGCAGTGAGCAGAGGTGTGAGACAAAGGAGTAATAAAGAAATACAAAACAGTTTCATTGGAGATCATAAGTCACAGGGAGTGGATGCATCTGCGCCACTGAGAACGATTTTGAGCCATGTCACCAATTGTTTCCAACCATAGATTTTTACCGTCCCGAGGACCCCAGCCTGGAAGTCTACACCTTCCTACGTGGCTTAGACCAACTGTTGTGGATTTCATTGACTGATGCCAAGTTTTTGTTTGACCGCCGCTAGCTTTTTTCCAGCCTGACCCTATATCCGCTAACATAGCTCGTCGAGGGAGGCGATGGCTTGGCATACGTAACACATGTCCTAACCATCTCAGTCTTTGTAGCTTCACGACTTCGTCGATTGATTTCCCCTGTTTACCTAGAACTCTACGCCTAACCTCCATGTTGCTCACCTTATTATGCCACTTTACACGGGAAATAGAACGCAGGCACCTATGATCAAAGACAGCTAGTCTTTTCATGTCTTCCACTCTCAGTGGCCAGGTCTCACAACCATAAAGGAGGACGGAGCGGACTGATGAGCAGTACACCCGCCCTTTGGTCGATAGTCGAACATCTCGTCTACGCCAGAGTCGGCGTAAACTAACAAATGCGAAACGAGCCCCTTGTATTCGTGCTGAGATTTCGTCAGAGATCAGCCCGTTGGGGCTGATGGTACTTCCCAAATAAGTGAAGCGGTCAACGTGCTCTACCACTTCACTTCCTATTTTTAAACTAGGCGTCGATGTAGTCCAGTCCTGTAACATCATCTTGCATTTGGCGGGAGCGAATCGCATGCCAAACATTCGTAGATTGCGGCTCAAGGTGTTTAGAAGACTCTGCATTTCGTCAGCGTCTTCGCCTAGAAGGACTATATCGTCTGCATATTCCAAGTCAACGAGATTATTCCCGGTAGCAAGTCAATCCCTGAGTCGCTGAAGTCACCTAGGGTTAAGTCCATTAACACATCTATGATGAAGTTGAATAGAAAAGGAGATAATGGGCATCCTTGACGGACACCACTGGTCGTCATCAGTTCAGATGACAGCTCGCCGTAAGCCCTCACCTGGCTGTATGAGTACGAGTAGAGTGCCTTAATCAGTGCAATATATTTTCTTGGAATTCCCTTTACAGCCAAGCATCTCCAGAGAACTTCCCGATCGACAGAGTCGAATGCTGCCTTTAGGTCAAGAAATATAATGACTGTTGGACGCCGGTAGGAATGCCTATGTTCTAGAATCTGTCGGAGGGTGAAGATATGATCAATACACCCTCTTCCTGGTCTAAAGCCTGCCTGGCTCTCTCGTGTTTGTGCTTCCCGAGCACCACTCAGTCTACGCATGATTATTGAGCCTAAGACTTTAGATACTATATTAGTCAAGCTAATCCCTCTGTGATTATCACAGGAAGACTTGTCTCCCTTCTTGTATATGGGGATAATCAGTGACTTACACCAACCCGATGGGACTTCTTCTGATTCCCAGACGCTGCCTAGTACCTCAGTTAATCCGGACAGTAAGCTGTCTCCACCGTACTTAAATACCTCTGGAGTCATTCCATCAGGTCCCGCTGCTTTGCCTAGTTTCAGATTGGTGACAGCTTTAGTAACCTCAGTTAGTGACGGAGGACCTGTGTTTATATCCCATTCAGGGAGGTGTTGGATGCTCGGAAGGTTGAGCGTGGCTGTGGGCAAATTAAACTGCTCCTCATAATGCTCTTTCCAACGATCCAGTCGTCTATCCTGGAGCTAATTATAGTGCCATTTTTTTCCGAGATTGTCTCACTGATGATTTGTCTTCTCCCACCCGTTTCCCTGATGAGTCCAAAGAGTTGCCTGGTGTTGCCTATCCTCGAAGCTTTCTCCATCTCTTTGGCTTTTGTCGCCCACCACTGTTCACGGTCCTTGCGGAGACTTTTCGTAAGTTTCCTCTTGTGCAGCTTTCGCTCCTCATTGAATTCGGAGCTCGCCGGAATAAGTCTTCTAGCATCTATCAGTTCGGATGAGGCGGTGGAGATCCAGTGGTTTTTACTCACCTTTGGGTTTACCTTATTCACAGCTTTTACAGCTGTATCTATGGCTGCCTGGATATTTTTCCAAGCTTCTTCAGGGTGAGCACAGCTGTCGAACACAGATATGTGTTTAGCTAGTTCTTCCTCAAATACGGATTTAGTTTCCTGATCGAGCTGGGGACGTGATGGTTTTACCGCCAGCTGTTTCCTACGTCCGTTCAGTCGTAAGCACACCCGAGCGCGGACCAGTGCATGGTCGGTATCTACGCACGTGTTCCAGAAGGAGCGACAATCTCCTACCGACCCACGCCAACGATAGCTTATTGCTATGTGGTCTATTTGTGTCCAGCGTTGGTGTGATAGATAGTGATACTACCCACTTAGGTAGGCTGAAGTAGATGGAGTGAGGTTAGAACCTGGGAACTATTGGCCGGAAGAGGATTGCTTAAGTGAATGAGCCACATATATGCACAAAATATAGGGAATCCACACAGTATATTTTTAGTACGTTATTGGTAATTACACTAATAAAATAGCCGATACAAGTGCCTCAGAACACCAAATAATAGTCACAACTAACCAAAAACTGTTTTTCACTTAGCATTCTCATATTATAAGCTAAGCAAATGTATCAATAGTAAGTTCTTACACTGAAGACCACAATGCCTTCTCTGTTTTGTCCAGAAATATCACATTTCGGAAACACACACCAGTCTCTGTTCAATTTCCACTTGATTAAGTATACCTTCTGGAGACAGTAATAACTTCCAGATAATTTGTTAGACAGTTGAGACGAATTCATTTTTAATTTAGAGCGTGCTCGTAATACACTGTACTGTTCTCTGGGCCGGAATTTAGAGGAAGGACATACCGATAACTTAGTTTAGTATGATATTCCGTAATGCCTGTGAACAAATCTGCGATGGAAATTGAATAAATTGTCCGTAAACCATAAGTATATCCAAATGATCCACAAGTGGAGATTATTATGCCGAACCCATCATAAAGTGGTGTACCGTTTATTATTAATTATTACTGTTATTGTCACTATTATTATTTCCGAGTGTTAGCTTGCAGGGACTTAATCGAACTTGGTCTCAAGTTGAATGGCAAATTGTCATCAGTTAGTAAACCAGGGAGTATTGGACAGCTGTTTTGTCCTAGTCTGGGAATCATCAGTAGTGCGCACCTAGTACACATCATTGTTAATGCCGAAATCAAACATCTGACATGCGAAATGGTAAAATACACGCTGTTCAAACAATTTTACCACACAACAATAAAAAAGTGTGTACGTATGACTTACTTTTAAACCCCTCAAAATTTGGTATACAAGAAATCGTATTTGTTCATCTGATAATGACTGAGTTTCAATTATGGCTCCAAGATCAGCACCCATTAACGGCGTAACCAGATAACTAAAAATAAACAATTGTAATTTCTACAGTAATATCATTCAGCTAAATACTAAGCTATCGATTCACAGGTATGCTGAAGATTGTGACAGAAGTTATTTATCCACAATTAAACTATACAACGCACAATGCAATACACAACTAGTTGAACGAGTAAAGTGAGGTGGAAACAATTTTTCATTAGTATAAACTCCATTTAGTTTCAGCAATCTCAAGCAGATTAAGAAAAGCCTCTAAAAATGCACACAAGCCTAAAAAGTATAGCTCAGACATGTTTCATTATGTATATACATATAGACCACGCTTTCTGCATGCAAAACAAAAGCTTCATCAGCGTATTCTTCACCAAGGTGAATAAATTTCCTAATTATATACAACTGCTGAAGATTTGCGAAATTGCAAAGTTGAATGCAACTTCGAAGACTTTAACTTATAGTATTTACAAGCTCGAATCAATAGAAAATGAATTAAGATTTAAGTAGAGTACCACGTGACGTTTTCTATAGAGAATATACAGTTTACCTTATAAAACAATGTCAAGGTGGATTATATTAAGTGTTGACCACACCAAGAGATTGTCAAGTGACAGAATCAACATACAATACTTTATTCTAAAATTCAAACAATTTTGTTTAACTGAGAAAATAAAAGAGGAAAGCTTCACATCACATTAAAAATACTTTGCCGCAAGCTTTTCACTTACATATCTGTAAAATCTTTCAATGATGTTTGTGGTGAAAAGGCGTCAATTAAACAAACAATCTTAATAGATAAAAAAACAAAAGAATGAATGCAAAAAGTAAACGGAGTAGAGAAAAAACCTAGTTTATTATTAGAAAACAGTTACTTGGAATTTACATACTTAAAAGTATTTTTCTACTACAATGAAATCTACTTGAAAATATTTACAGTTTCACAATTTCAAGTATTCAAAAAATAATGTGATGATGCTAATTAACTTCCAATAAGAACATTGAATTCTTTTCATCTACGGGATCCTAGTCAGCACAGAAGTACAACTGGTAATCAAAGCACAAGTATGATTTCAAGTTTAGTACACAAATTTTCATATAGTCCCAAGGAATAAGAACTAAATAAGAAGAATTATTGCTCCGTTTTTTAGTGATGTGACTTCATACGATTCGCAATTTGTTGTGCAACACAATTTTGTCTTACTTTCAATACATTATTTTGTACACTAGGAGAACAAAGATATCTGTCATAAGTCGAATCTAAAAATACCAACAACACTTTAACGAATTGTGACAAGAATTAAAATTTTTTTAATTCATTCACGTTCCCAGTGGAACATGGGGCTTCAAGCTAGGAGCTTGGATTTTCTGTAGCAGTGATGTTTATTTTTACGGGATGGGGTTGCTAGCCTCATGCTAACCTTCCTTCTTCACAGGTCTTATCACCGGCTTAGCGAGTTCTAGGAGTGCGCCGGCCGGGGATCGAACCCCAAATCACCTGCGTGGTTGGTGAGCATTCTACCGCTGTGCTACCGACGCATCTTAAAACCACTTTTCAAAAAGAGCTGCCATGATGATTACTGGCAACGAAGTATTAACGTCAAGATAGAATATATGTGCCTTAAATTTGTTTCATCAACAAAACGATTTGCCACCAAAATACTACTATCGAATATGATTTCGGACTTGAAATCCATAAAGTTAAGAACTTTATCCTTACTACGGTTCACTAGTGGTCTAGGTGTTCAATTTTTAACTAGAGGGTCAATGGCGTGAATTCTAAACCACCAATGGATGTCTAGGAAGTCAAATAACAAAATCAGCCCTAACGAAATAACTTTGACTTATCCCCTGGTGTACAAATTTGAGTCAGGTTTCCAAATCTTAAATTAGGCTGTATGTATTTAGAAAGTGCAGGTCAGTAAAACATAAAATCACTATTTTAGTGCTTTTCTGCTTCCTCAATAATCCTTCTGGCTTTGCCCCTCTATTCAAAGGTTTCTTCATCTGCTTACATTATGTAATTTAACTGTTTGCCTTAAAAACCTCCCGAAAGTTACAACTACAGTCTGAAACTAAAACAAAATAGCTATCCAAAGCTTTTCGTTCTAACCTGCTCTTTATTTAATGCCATTAGCGATGACATTAAATTATATTAACGAATATAAAAACCTATATGTGTTTCTTCAAGGCATTAATAGCTGGATGAAGAAACCCAGAATAATGAGAACTTACACTATTGCTTTATATGCTAATCTCAATCTATTTAAATGTATTAAAAGAAGTAAATGAACCGATTACAATGCAATCTGGACCAAGGCGGGCAATACTTGTCACCCAGGGTTCAAGTATGTGACGATTCGTGATTTCACAAACTAATTTAGTAAAACTACATATATGACGATTGCTTTTTTAGTGCGTAAATCCAGTGTGATAGCAAGGCAGAAATGAACATTTTACCATAATAAGTATCATGAAGGCGATATGCGTTACGCTAACTGCAACTGAGAAGTGACCACTAATCAATAATCCAATTATCCCTTTTCTGTAGACAAAACAAATTACCAATTTCTCATTACAATATGTCAAAATGCTATGTCCGTAAAACTTACATTTTCATGATCCATTTGAGACAAAATGTTAATTTCTCTGTATGTTCGTTTTGTATATTCAATATTTTCAAAAGGTCTACTCAATTTTTTAATAGCCACTCGGCGGTTTAATCGGGTATCATGGGCAGAGCTGTATTATATCGTTAGAAATTAGAAATCGAACGAGTTAGTAAAATTTATAATGCGAAATATTCAACCACTGTACAAAAAGTAATTCAGGAGAAATTGGACTGAAGATTTATTCAAATATCAAAAGAGAGGAATCATCATTTCAATTATATGCAACTTTGTTTTCAGGTTATGGATAACGTCCATCGAATGAAAAGTATCAACATAATAACAGAGTCACTTATCCTAAATGGACTATAGCTCAAAGCATCCCTTCATTTCATACGAAAGTGTAAAATAATAGCATAATATGCAGTAATGAGTACAAAATCTATGCAGAGTAAGTGGATATTATCCAGAGACAACAGTATTATAGTGCAAGAGAAATGCTTGATATTCTCCGAAGTAAAATCTACATCATGAATGTTTTACTGTCACATTCATAAAAATTGTCAGCAATTATTGGTCTGTTTAGACAGTGAGATTAGTATTGATGAAGTCATGAAGTCTGATGGTCAAATGTTACGGCTCCGATACTTTCACACACATGAAAATTGAAGAATATAGAACATAGAAATATTACGACGCAAAACCTTACTATTTTTAAGAATATATAAAAATACGTACAAATATAAATGTACCACTGTTTCACATAAGCTAAAAACGTACCAGACAGTACCATAAGCACCATATCCTATCATTGAAAGTTCTTTGTATCTGGACGGAACACACCATTCCACCTGATTAAGCTGCAGTGACACGAACCCTGACTTGCAAGTTTTAGCGGAAGACATTTGTCTGAAAGATAATAGAAGCTTTTTAGTCAAAGAATTACATTTGTAATTATCCTATGAAATGGAGAGAGTAACAGCAAACAAGAAAGTGTGTTCGATGTAAAACATCTTATTATAGCGACAAAATTACGTTTTTTTTTTGAACGCTCGACAGAAAATACAAAGTATTGGAAAATCTTGATGATTGTGAAATTCAGCCACAGTAACCAGAAATCGAGGACTATAGCTTCTGGCTGGCTTATTAGAAACATTTTTACTGACTTATACAGTTGGGCTGTAACATTTTCCTCATGGATAAGGACAACTGAATCGCCTATCTGTATATATATATATATTTTTCTTGGTCTTATATAGTTGTATTTTGAAGGTTTTAAGAGGAACTGTCCAAAAAGTCATGTCCATTCTTAACAATGGCATTAATTCTGCGGATACACAATAATAAAACAACAAAGTGGAACTATAAGTCTTAGTCTTTAGACTCATATGTAAAACCTGGTGTAGTGAACTGACGTATGTGTATCGATGTGATAATTTCAAACACCAAGAAATCAAACGACAATCAACCAGTTCGATTTCCCACACAGTTGAGAATTATACCGTCAAGTGATTCAAATCAGTGATTTGTGTTTCTAGAACTAAGATTTTACCCAGAAATTCACTGGTGAGTTTATATTACAGGTTCTCTGATGCGCTGTTTTTCTGTGACCACGCCATAGTTGTCATCTCAAACATATTTTGTTTATAGATAACGACTTTGTGGTAACAAACAGAACAACTATTAAGCTAAAAGTCATGACCAGTAGGGTGCACCAAGTCGGGTGTGAGGACAAATAGTCCCTGAAGACATTGGCTAGAGGTCGCGCTATGTTGTGAATTGGCAGAACTTGTATTTTATGGGCCGTTGGATGGGATCCTAGTGGCTTAATGGACTACCAGCTCGCTAGCCTCGTAACCGACGACTCTGGGTTCAAACCACGGTCGGTGGGCACTGCTGTAGAGTCCCAGACTAGGGCGAAACAGCTGTCCATTACTTACGGAGTGTTCCAGTGGTTCTCTAACAGATGTCAGCTTATGATGAAATCCTGTAACCAATTAACTAAAAGCTTCCAAAACATCGCAAGAAAACCTACCATATAGCGTTCTGAAGGGAATGGAACGTAAAAGCAACTATAAATAAATGTGGTGCATGAATAGACAACATCGTCCTCTTACACATACAGAGCATTCGATTACCTTATGATATTCGATCAAACGCCCCGCCTTCCCAAAATGAAACCACGGTCAGGTAACATTTCAAGAACGACCCACTGAATATATATCAAAACTGTAATACTATAATGGGTAGACTTTTGTTTTGATAAAGTCTCACAGTTTTATACAGTAATGTTTACTGATGACGTTTCGAGCACAATTTATTGCTCATAATCATATCAACGTACTAACACGACTTCTTAGCTCCACTTATATAGTTCCATTAGTTTTCACTTGATTTGATTGGTAGTAGTATTTCACTCATACACATACATAGTATTTCAGATATGAGTGATGAATCATTCCTATTGCGTGTGTTCGGTGAAGACCCGATGAACAGGGATTCAGTAATCAACCTCTCTCTCCACCTATCTAGATTACTTTTTAGAATTTTAACCCTCTCCCATCCTATTGTGTGGTTGTGTGTTAATGCATGCATTGCAATTGCTGAGCTTTTTTCTGAATTACTTATCTTTTCAGGGTCAACCATTCTTAACTTAGCTAAATTCTTATGTTCTGACAATCTGACTACTCCTGACCTACTAGTTTGACCTATGTAATTGACCTCACAGTCATGCAGGGTATTTTGTAAACTATATTATGTCTAATTGGGTCAACTGGGTCCTCTAACCTACAGAGCTTGTCCCAGAGTGTTTGTAGGTTTAAATGCCACCCTAATATCTGCTTTATTTAGAATCCTACGTAGTGTCTCAGATGTCCCCTCTTTATATGGTATAACTGTAGATGACTTATATTCTCTCCTATTTATGCTATTATTAATAGTTTCACAATTATTTTTATTTTTCGTTTGGCCTTTTCTAATCTTCCTAATGAATTTTAAAGGATAGTTATTTAACACCAAAGCCTCTTCTATCTGTTTTAGTTCATCTAGGTCTTTTCTTGTGCTACTGCTCGGTTTGTTAAAAACTTAACTAAGCCTGCCTTAACAGTTAACGGATGAGATGAATTAAAGTCTAAGTATCTATTAGAATGAGTTGGTCTTCTGTACACACTAGTGTGCAGTTTACCTTCTATTCGTTTTATTTTACAATCTAACATGATAGCTAATTCTCCTTGTTCATTTTCCGATTCAAATGTGAATTTTATTCCCTGTACTAGTGAGTTTATATGTGTCAAGAAGCTAGAGATATGTTTTGTTTTTGACACTGTGAAAGTGTCATCCACATATCTCCACCATATTTTTGGAGCAGGACTGAACGTATTAAGAGCATTACTTTCCCAGCTGTCCATATATATGTCGGCTACGATAGGGGATATTGGTGATCCCATTGCTACACCTTCTGTTTGTCTATATATTTTACCTTGGAATTTAAAGATAGATATGAAGCATAACTGAATCCCTAAAATAATTTGTTCAATGGGCAGTTTTGTCCTATGATTGAGTTTAGGATCCGCAGTTAGTTCTTTTTTAACTGCTTCTAAGGCCATATTGACTGGTATATTAGTATAAAGACTAGTTATATCAAAACTAACCATTTTTCATTATTCTCTAGTTGAATGTCATTTAGTTTATTTTTCACCTCATATGAATTAGTTAGTCTAGAGATTGGACGATTTCTAATGGGGCATAATATTAGAGCTAAGTGTTTCGATAATTCATAAGTAGGGGTATTTCTGAAATCTACAGTAGTGTTTACTGATGACGTTTCGAGCACAATTTATTGCGCATCATCATATCAAGGATATGATATGATGATGAGCAATAAATTGTGCTCGAAACGTCATCAGTAAACATTACTGTATAAAACTGTGAGACTTTATCAAAACAACAATTTACCTATAATGGAATTACACTCTACCACATCGCACAAGTTTTAATCTTATATTAAGAAAACTGTACACGTGACTGTATTGTCGCGACAATCAGCTATCACGATAGCTGAAATCATATAATTTACTATACTATACTAGAGCCTCACATCTGCAAGATGTCTGACTGTACAAATAAATAACTAATTTCATATCACGGATTTTCTAATTTTTCGGGGACTACCTGCTGGGGGCTAACAACCAAAAGGATTAATATTTAAATAACTCAGATAGATCATTTTAAATCCTACACTTTCCTTGGCCTCCACTACACCGGTTAATTGTATGTCTATTTTGAAGACACATATCTTAACTTGTACATGTGATGTGAATAATGTGATTTTCAATGAAACCCAACATTCAAGTATGTTTGTACAAACTATAGTATGGTCACTTGCGCTGGATGACCATAATATCCTAGTGGTTGAGGATAAAAGTTATTGGCTAATTCAACTGCGAATATATCTGCGTTGATCGTTCGCCAAATAACAAGGCAGGTTAACACTATGTTCTGACAGTTAAGTAGATGGAGCATGAGAAGAAAGGTTATTTTTAGGTGCTTATAGGCACCGTAGGTATACCTACGTAGCTGATTTCAACTGAATAGTATCATGCATCCACATTTGCCTTTTGGGTACTTTTTGATTCACATTAATCTTTGACGATATTACCTGAACTTTAGTACAAGTGCTGGATTGTGACTAAGGCCCATTGAGTGCTGCATACAAGTGAAACACGTAAACTAATTCTAACATGTGCTTTTCATAGTCTCTTCAGTTTATGAGGAAACACTAAGCACAAAAGTTTCGACAGTAACCTTAAAGTTAAACTCTCTGAAGAAACAGTTTGTCGTATGCTTCCAGCCTTCTCTAACGACGGCGGAATCGTAGTATACACTTCGACTTTTGATTCAGGAACTTTTTTACGATGTGCTACAGACACATAACATCAGTGAACATAGAATACAAGTGTATGTTAGTGAACAGCAATAAACTAAGATGAAAGCTACCGAAAAAACAGAGTGCTCCAGTTTAACGATAGTGGATAGCTGCACAAATGGCTTATGGAGAGGCTGAGCACTTGAAGGTCACTTACGCACGCTGTGATTGGTAGATTTTCCTTTGCGTAAACGTTGCGGCTAATACGTGCCTTACGTTACTGAAGCGGGCTTTGAAATAGCAATAATAAAAGCGGATAGACATTATATTTTTTAGCTTAAGGGAACAACTTAACATGCTTATAAATTTCACAGATGTGAGAAGCATTAGATCCACTTACAAGGAGAATATTACTGGGTAACTTAATCAAAGAAGTACAAAGTTTGAAGATTTCATCTCTTTTAGTAAGTTGTAACGGATGGATGAGTCACTTGTATAATATTTGCTTTTTATAGAAGAGAAAGTGTGACAGGTGCTTTGGAAGTTACACGATTCCTGAAATCTATCGTGGAATATATGGACGACTAATAATTTTTTTTTAATAATAATAGCTTTATTCCAAAAACAGTACTCATAATACAGCAGGGAATTTTCAGCATTTCAGTACAATATTGCATCTAATTTACTCAAAAACGACAAAAAAAATAAAAATACACATTACATAATAGTAATAAAACGACTGTTATAGCAGCTACGTAGCAAAATACTGTGTGCCATACGGAGAAAAATATGTATAAAGTACAAAATTGTAGTGATAATAGTAATACCATCTAAAAATAAAATAGCAGAGTAACGATTGAAACGATAGAGAGTGTGACACCATAAAATACAGAAAGATGAACGATAAAAGGGTCGATTCACTGTGCTAATTACATAGTAACTTGTAAGTTTCACGTCTAACAGAGTCTTCGTCACATAAAGTACGCGCTAAATAGGGTATTGTAGAATTTCTATACTCAGTAGTACGAGCATATATCTTTTTATATTGATTTCTACCTGATGAGATACAAGGGGACAGGTGTGAATAAAGGGGGTGCAGAGGGTCTGACTACTGACTTTATAGAATTTCACCAACTCTGTGGTTGTTCCTTGCCTTGTTCACATGTTTACTGTGGCTAAGATTAGGAATTGTTCACCAAAGGTAAGATTAATTTACCTGATATGTATACATCCTCAGATATTTCTCAATACGGCCGAAGGCATTCGAAGGAATACAATCTCAATCGCTACTTGGAAAGTTCACATCCAGTTTCTGCGAACGGAACTGGTGGTGACGAAAACTGCAAAGGCTGGTCCAACACCACTAACAACGGAGGCAAACTGACACAGATGTTGCGGATAGAGTGTTTGGTGGACTTTATGATGACTGTAATGCAGCTATAAAAAACTCTACAACTGCGATTTTTTCACTGGATTGTTATTAACTCTTTTTAGTGTATATATGTACTCTTTTATTCTGAGTCATTTTCAACTTGATTGATTATTGTTTCCTTACAAATATATGCATTTATGTCGACTAACTTTGTCTCTTTTACTTATCATTTTGAGGACATTGCAGAGTTAACGAGAATGATAGGCAACGTATTAATACTTATGTGAAATGCGTCAGTCTTAAACTATCATTACTTCCTCAATGCGTCATCAAGCCTTGTGTAAAGTGTTTCAGTTGCGTATAGGATTAATATTCAAGATTGTTAAGAAAGTAGCCGTCAAACATGTGCTCGTACTGTAGCAACGAAACATAACTTAGCAAACGTAGGCTCTATGTGCACAGGACTTGTATTAGTAGTCTAGGCACTTCAAGTACACAATGCAACGTATATCCCATTTATTTTTATTTTTTTTTGATTTACAGCTTAATTCCACACTGTATTTTCGGTACAAGTATGGAATTTTCAGCATGAATATCACAAATACTCTGTTATTACTACGTTGCGTTTAACACCACTATCTCAAAGGGTATCATTAGGTAATAAAGAGAAAACTACATTACTCTTCTTGTGTTATCATTTCGTATCAAAAGGCTCTTACATGATCACACCAACACTTAGACTCGTGCATTAGTTGACTACGTCACTAAACTTCGTTGATCATTTAGCTATCATGAAACACTGTGACGCATTAAATAGGCCTTTGTTGTGCATAACGTCTATTTAAGATTTACTAGCGAAAGCAATTACTCAAAAGCGATAACAGTACCCCATCGTGACCAAATTCGGCAACGTGTGAATATGCCATTTTACGAATATTGCGTCTTCTACACTGGCATCACTTTGCAACTCGTCAAACACTGAGTATTAATAGAGCAAAACTTTTACAACAATATTTATTTCGGTAAATACATTAGTGATATCTCAAATATTTCATCATTTACACAAATATTATCCTTTTTGACCCCACTGGAATGTCTAAATGTATTGAGTGATTGCGGAATTGAAGACCATAACCTGGAAATTAAAAATGACAAAAATTCAGTCAGGAAATGATGGGCGAAATAAATAACTTGAAACACAGTACCTACCAGTTAAATGACTGTTTATTCACCGTTATCTGACGAAATTACCAACTCAGTTTCCTTTATTACTGTGAAATTGGCAAAGTTTAAGAATGTAGTCCCAAGAGATGCGAACGCATAATGACTTTGAGCCGACCAATCAGAAAATAGGAGGAATTTTGCATAAAATTAACGTATATTTACACAAAAATGCATGAAAAAATCATTAAACGGATTATATTTCTCTGATATGACTTAAAAATACGTTCCAGTTGCGATGAAGAGTATCAGTTGCTAATTTGGACCAGTTTCTGTAGATGTAATCACCAAAGAGACTGAAGGTGTGTTGTTTTGGGAATGGTTCATCTCTCTTCTCTTGCTGTGTAGTCCTCTCCTCAGCCCTCGGTTTAGTTACTATGGTTCCAGTAAGAGCATTGGCGACTACATACAAGGGAAATAAGGATAACAAAAGAACTTGAAATAAACGAAAAATCTATTCCTAATCGCTACCCTAACCCTAAACCCTAAAACCTAACCCTAACCCTAACCCTAAACCCTAACCCTAACCTAACCATAACCCTAACCACAATACTCTCCTTAACCCCTATCCGGCGAAGTTTAAGAATAGCGTCCCAAAACCTTCAACGCTCAAATGACCTTGAACGCATGCTAGTCGTTGGCTAACGGTTCCTGTCATTATCATAGGTGAAATATCAACCCTATTCATCAAATAAAGAGCAAGTTTCACCCAGATAACACTTTTATCACTGTTTGGACAATGTGTTAACATCTCGTTAGGGTTAGGATAGGGGTTAAGGCGAGTACTGTGGTTAGGGTTAGGGTTATGGTTAGGTCTAGGGTTAGGGTTATGGTTAGGGTTTAGGGTTAGGGTAGCGATTAGGAATAGATTTTTCGTTTATTTCAAGTTCTTTTGTTATCCTTATTTCCTTTGTATGTAGTCGCCAATGCTCTTACTGGAACCATAGTAACTAAACCGAGGGCTGAGGAGAGGACTACACAGCAAGAGAAGAGAGATGAACCATTCCCAAAACAGCACACCTTCAGTCTCTTTGGTGAATACATCTACAGAAACTAGTCCAAATAAGCAACTGATACTCTTCATCGCAACTGGAACGTATTTTTAAGTCATATCAGAGAAATATAATCCGTTTAATGTTTTTTTCATGCATTTTTGTGTAAATATACGTTAAATTTTATGCAAAATTCCTCCTATTTTCTGATTGGTCGGCTCAAGGTCATTGTGCGTTCGCATCTCTTGGGACTCCATTCTTAAACTTTGCCCCTATCCTAACCCTAACGAGATGTTAACACATTGTCCAAACAGTAATAAAAGTGTTATCTGGGTGAAACTTGCTCCTTATTTGATGAATAGGGTTGATATTTCAGCTATGATAATGACAGGAACCGTTAGCCAACGACTAGCATGCGTTCAAAGTCATTTGAGCGTTGAAGGTTTTGGGACGCTATTCTTAAACTTCGCCGTGAAATTTTGTAAACATAATGAAGTCATAATTACCTAAATATTTAACTGTCTTCTAAAAATTTACGTAAAATACACTGAAACAATTGGAGTTATTTTTCATTTTATATCATAATTGACATTTTCAAACAAATTCTGACATTTCTTATGCACCTCAGCATGTCAATTCCACAAAAAGAGCATTTTGTAAACACATTGAAAGAGACCACTTTTCTCAGTTTTTACACGTTTTTTCGTTAAAATGCGACTTTTAAAGTCCATTTCTGTCGAGAAAACCACTAAAAACAACGTTGAAATGCCAAAACACAACGCCACGTAACACCTTAAAACTGCAGCAATCAGCTGATTTGTGCCTCTATCCTATTCCTCCTCTACCTGAATCAACTCACCTTGGTAAATCAAAACCCCATTCAATATCCAATATCCAATAACGTTTTTACGGCTGAAATTATCCGTAACTTATCAAGGTCATTGGTGGAGTGAGACGCTTAAAAGTCATTTTCGTCCATGTTAGTCGGCCATGTTGGATTGGAGTTCCGTAGCTGTTCGTGTACGCGTTTGTTGTTCCGTTTATCCTGCCGTTATACACGACTTATCTTGTTACGTATTGTTCACAAATGTTGTGTTTCACCTCATTTTTGTTTCGGTTGCTGTTAAAATGAATTATTTCTTTCGTTTCGAAAGTTTTCACTACCAGGTCAGTGCATTCATTTCGGTGTAATTGTTTCATACCTTGCTTTCAATGTTTTAGTTGGTTTTCAGCTATTAATGAATTAGTACTGTGTAGAAGTTTTGGAAATTATACACATGAAGATGTTTGGCAAGCAGAAGCAGTTGTTTCCAGTCCGTTCGTTGGTTGCCGTTACTCTTGTTGGCTCAGTTAATTACTTAAGATGTAGAAATCGTGAAAAAAAGTGTCTTTCTCGTTCATGTTTGCAGCATGAAACAATCTGCGCGTGAATCTGTTAAAGAAAACACGATCAGAGTTGATGTTAGCAAGGTTTTTGAAGAACAAATTAAACCTGGAGAATTTAAAACTTGGGTTGAAGTTGAAAAAGCTTTGAAGCTTTTTGAGAATGTGAATTCAGATTCAGATTTATTCGTTGAGGATAGAAGGCTTGCAGCCTATGTTAATCCTTTTCTAGTAGATTTCTGTGGTTGTCCAAACCCTTCTTGAACGAATCAGTTGAGGTTGCAGACACCACTTCTTCTGGGAGTCGGTTCCAAGAGTTTATGACTCGATGTGAGAACCAGTACTCAACAGCGATATGATTTCTCCTTGGCTTTTGAACTTTCCTGCTATGTCCTCTAAGGTGTTCCGACGTGGTGGGAAGGAAAAGAGAGAATAGGTCAGGTCCGTAGTCATTGAAATATCACGGCGGCCTGCTTGAACATAGGGCTACCAAAAATTCCACCTTACAACATTTTGCAAAATTGCTTTGGTTTGCTCTTTTAATTTTGTTTTAATTTATCAATAATGTGTCCTAATCGTATTATATATAATCGCGCATTTTTAAAATCATTACAACCTACCGCGTTGTGTCATCCACAAAAATTGAGAAAAAAGCATCACTGTGGCTGGCAGCGAGCACTGAAACGTGCACAAATTAATCAAATGACTGTTCCTGAACTCGTTAGCACTAATTGTAGATCCCTGTCCAACAAAATGGATTACCTTCAATCCCTAATGTATTCCAATGTTTATCGAAATGCTGGCGTTTTAGCAATACAAGAGACTTGGCTGCACCAGCATTATGATGATAATCTAGTTTCAATAAATGGATATAAAGTTTTTCGCCAAGATAGAAATAGTTCCAAGAAAAAATACGGAGGAGGGGTAGCCACATATATAAACACAAATTGGTCTACATCAAATCACGTTTGCTTCAATTATTCTAATGACAGTATTGATTGCATAACCGTCAGGTGTCGCCCAAAACACTTAAGTAAATATTCTTATATATACATAACAAATATTTACATAACACCCAATTGTAGCCTTTCTAATATAGTTATGTTTGCAGATGAGTTTACTGAATTCGCTGCTCCTGCTTTCGGAAACTCGTTGTCTATAGTCTGTGGTGATTTTAATTCATGCGATCACAGCTTTCTTACTTCGCTTGGTCATGAGAATCTAGTCAAGTTTAATACACGTCTGGACAAATCGCTAGACCTGGTTTTCATAAATGACCGTGATGTATATGAAACCCGAAGGAGAGCTCCTTTGTTAAATTCTGACCACTGCATTATTCGTATTTTACCGAAAGTGTACGGCAAGTTACAACGAAAATTGTTTAGTCATTTAACAAAGAAAATACATGAACGTTCATATTCCCATGACAACATTCTAGCATTAAGAAGCATGTTGCATGATACCAACTGGGAACTGTTTACTGACGATAAGTTGGATGCTACTGTCTCTAATATAACCGATTATCTGAAGTTTTGTTTGGATATTTGCTGTCCTTATGAAACACTGTTTTCGAGATTTGACAGAATCTCTTCTTTGCAACTCAAAAAACTTAGAAGACAAAAAGAGAAGTTGTATAAGAATTGTGATAATACTGGTGTCCGTAAAATAAACACCCTTATAAAAATTGAAATAGAAAGGTTGAACAGACTATATAATGAAAAATTTTTATCATGTAAAAATCCTTCAAACATTTGGAAACTTTTCAATAAACTTACAAGTAAAAAACAAATGTCCGTTGATGCTTATTCTGATGTAAATGCTTTAAACAAATCATTTATCAAGAAACAAATTAATATGGTTGTACCTGATGTACCTAGTCAAGAAAATGGTCATTTTCAGGGTTTTGAAGAAAAGGATGTACTATTATGTTTGAAGTCATTAAATCCAACACACAGCCTTGGTCCAGATGGTGTACCAAGCATTCTTCTCCAAAAGTGTGCAGACATCTTGTGTCATCCTCTTACTCAAATCTTTAACGCATCATTTAAGAGGGAAACGGTACCTGCTGACTGGAAAGAAATCAAGGTTGTACCTGTACAGAAATCATCTTCTGGAGCAGGTATAAAGTTTAGACCAGTCGCCATAACATCTCCTTTTTTGAAAACTATGGAGAAACTTCTTTTGAATATTCTTAAACCTTCTTTAAAAGCTTTTAGTGACCCTAAGCAGTTTGCTTATAAGTGTGGAAGAAGTACATTAGATGCAGCCATTGTACTACACCACAATATTGTTTCCTGCCTTGATAAGGGTGCTAAGTTCGTTCGAACAGCTTTTTAGACTATACTGCAGCTTTCGACTCTGTTCCTAGGACACTTTTATTAGGAAAGATGATTTCAGCTCAAACAGAGTCCTGGGCAACTAGATGGCTGTCTTCTTATTTTAAGGATAGGAAACAGCATACTGTTTTGGCTGGAAAGCGCTCCACTTCCCAGCTAACTGAAAGTGGTGTGCCTCAAGGTGCAGTACTTTCTCCATTTCTTTTCTCTTTCTTTCTGCATGACCTTCCGAACTCACCCAAAGTTAACTTCATTAAGTATGCTGATGACCTGACCGTTTCTGTCCCTGTAGTTGCCACATCGGATTGTTCCTATATGAATGGCTTCCTAGCTGAAGTTAAGGATTGGTCTCGCTCAAATGGTCTTAAACTTAATCCAACTAAATGTAACACTGTTGATTTCAGCCTGAGAAGTAAAAAAGATATGCATGGATTGATTCAATCTCATGATTGTTGTAACATTGATGGTACCATGATTGAGAGTAAGTCAAGTGTTTCTTATCTTGGCATTAGTTTCTCGTCAAATCTTTGCTGGTCGTCTCATATTCTTATAGTTTCTAAGAAAGTCTTCCGTCTGACTTATTACATAAAGAAATTGAGACACTCAGGTATAACTCAATCTCTTATCATACAATTTATTAATTCATGTGTTTTGCCCATCATTCTTTATTGTTCTCCATTATTCTTCCCTGGGCTACTCAAGAAAGATCATATAATACTACGAAGAACATTGAGGGCTGTAAGTAGGGTCAGTGCTATCCCTTTGACTGAACTAAATGACACTGTTGTCAATAGGCATATGAATTCTTGTAAACACTTAGCTAAAGTTATCTTATCTGATAGTGAACATCCACTTTATTCACAATTGTTTCCTTGTATCTCTTCGGGTAAGACCAGAAGAAATTTTATAAACATTTAT